AAAAAGAATATATGTCCAAGCGAGATACAAAAAAAAAAAAATCACAACCCTGAAAGACAACACACACTATCACTTCCAAAAAACACTTTACAACTCCAATTCTATAACCAACTGTATATGCCTTCAACATCTGTGTAACCAACAAAAAATGAGACCTGATCCCTTCAGGTCCAATATCACTATATTTCCCATACAAAGAATGAAGTACCAAACCAGCTTTAATAATTTTAACCGACAAAAGCGAAACTAATCCAACAGGCAATCGGGACGCGAAAATGTGTACTCCTTCGCTTCACAAGCAAAACCGGAACAAATGACGAAAACAATAAGAATCTGCGAAATATTAATAGATCCATGTCATCAGTGAAGGCGGCAATGCCCGCAATATAATAGCCAAGAATTATCTACCTAACAAAAAAAAAAAAAAAACTTTATGAATATGATCAAGAAGACAATTTGTTTACTAATTTGTATACAGATAATCAAAATCAATTATCTAGCATATTCGGGTCTAAAATATACGCGTTTATTAACATACGGTATTGTGAGGACATGGCGACCAGTTATACTTTCCGAAAAAATGTGTGCTTGAATTGTAAAATGTCATACTTTTCATACTGTCTGAATGGTGGTTTCATTTTTTGAAACATGGCATCTCATTATGAAAGTATGCGTGTTTGTTGGAAAAATATGTTCTTCTAACAGTTATACGGCAACCCTGCCGCCACCACAAAGGAGCAAAACTCATACATTTAGGTATCAATGTGCACAGCCATGTAGACCGAACCAAACCTCCATATTTAAAATTTTTGCCTTAGTCAACAACTCCAAGTCCAGTCTCTCACAATCATTTGCCAAAAGAGCATAAATTATAATGAGACACAACAAAGTAATAAAACTTTCTTTTACACAAATTTGTCTTTACCAATATGAATTTTATTCGTCCATTCTATAGCCAGAGTCACCATGTGGTAATCCTTTAGGTGTGGAAATTTTTAAAGCAGAACCGAAACCGACCTAACAAAACAGGACCAACAGTAGAAAATCTAAAACAAGATTAACTGATTTTTCGGTAACAGAAGGTCCATAACAGATCCACTTTCGGCACAATATCGCCTTTTGTTTCGGAAGTTTCGGTAATAACCGAATCTATGTTTCAAAGAAAAAGGAAAATGATCCACTTTCGGCACGATATCGGTTTTGTTCTCTGAAGGTTCAGTAATAACCGACTCTATGTTTCAAAAAGAAAAGGAAAATGCAGAAGAAATATAAATATCCTAATTCCTAATTGTAAATTCGATTGATTATACCTGAACAAAGAACTAATAAATAAACTCTCTCTCTCTCTCTCTCTCTCTCTCTCTCTCTCTCTCTCTCTCTCTCTCTCTCTCTCTCTCTCTCTCTCTCTCTCTCTCTCTCTCTATGGCTCTAGCTCTATTAAAAACCAAACGCCTCCGATAGGTAATTTCCAATCTATTTGTGTTGGGTCAAAAAGTTGATTCTGAGAGTTCTGAATTCGTACTTTTTCTTAATTCTCTGAATACAACTATGCCTCTGATGGTGAAAATTGAAATTATATGGCCATTATTTGAGTTATATCTAGTTGGAAGATAGGCGTTCTATGTGCTGTCATGGCAGCTAATTTATGGTTCAGGAGCTCTGTGTTATTTAAGGAAGACAATGTATGGTCCTTCATTTTGAAAAAACTACAGTAATATAGCATAAATTTAATATACTGAAACAACTTTTGGCTACCAGAAGTTCGGTAACCAACCATTAAATCAGTTTGATATCCGTATTGTGATGTGATAATATCAAATCATCCTGTCCGTTAGTTAATGTGTAGTTCGTTTTATTTATCGAACCCACCCTTGTAAAGTCCACGCATATAAACTTACATAGTTCAATATAAACGATAGTTCAATATAAATGAATTAGAACGAAATCCCTTTACAATGAACTAGCAGTAAAGAGCAGCATGAGCAAGCATGATACAAATAGAGCATCAAGTTCCCAGCAATTAGATAGTGTCATAAAACAAAAGTGAAAAAAGGGTTAGCAGCATCAATTTACCTTAAATAATCTGGCTTGGAGGCAAACTAACCACCAGAGAATTCTGATGCTTTTTGCCTCCTTTTTTTAAAACCACATACCACTACTGAGCTAGACGTTCCAAAACAGAATGAAGTTTTGGGGAACGCCTTCTGAACAATGGCTCGAGGCGGGAAGATGCCACACCAGTTCGCCACCTGTCGGCATCATACATCTCGCTCCATGCCTGTACTATCTCATCCACTTTGAATCCTACACGTCACACAAGTTCCCGCAGAACAGAACCCAAACAAAAATGTTAGCAAGTGAAAAAAAACTCAATCAATCCACAAAGGCAGCCCATATCAACCGTACCTTCTAAAGCAGTCTCATTCGAGCAATGGTTCTTGATCATAACAGCAATATCTGTTGATGAGGCCCCCGCAAGCTCGAATTTCTCAATTGCAACCTCCAAACACTCCTCCCAGCTCGGCAGGCTCAACTTGTACTCCACGACCGACCGCTCATACAGAATTGAGCCCCAAAGGAAGTAAATCTGACAACTCATGCTCGCGGCCCACTCAGCTGGCACATCCCTAAACAACCCATCCAGCCCAAATTTGCGCAGCTCCCCCCTCTCCTTCTCGTGCTTCGAGAGCCCGTTCAGACGCTGTTCCTCCATCTCCTCCCACACCTGCATCCCCTTCTCCATGCTGTCCTCAGCTTTGTTATACAGCTCCAGCACCTGAGCAGAGGGCCCGATCTCCATCCCCGACTTGCTCCCAACCATGTAGCTCCAGGACAGCTTCGCCTGCTCAAACTGCTGAAGCCCGAGCGCGATGAGCCCCTCGTAAAAGTTAGGTTTCACTGTAAGGGCCTCCTCGTACCTCGAGCCCGCGCGAGTGTACTCCACCTGGGCCCAGTCGTAAGCAGCTTTCGCTAGAGCTAATGCAGACTCGGGGGAGGCATCCTCCGATACAGCGGCCCGTTTTCTTGCCTTGGACAGGTGGACATTCCCCCAGTTGAACAGCGCTAAAGCAGTCATTTCCTGGAACCTGGCTGCCGCAAGATCAAACAGCTCCTGAGCATCTTCGCTCGTCACGGTCTCCTCCATTGCCTCTGAGTATAACTTCATTCCAATCTCATGAAGGTCCAGGTAGGAATCGGACTCAAATCCAACGTGATTCTTGAACATCCTAGCGAACTGAACGACCCAGTCTTCAACGCAGGTCGAGCTCGACCCATTCTCCATATTAACATTCCCATTCTCTTCCCGAGGTTTCTCCTCAAGGCCGGTCCCCTCATAGAATGGTTCTTTATCAGGACTGACCTCCGCAATGTAGAGCCTCAGTAAACCCTGATTGCCAGCCAAACCCTCGGCCACCCTAAGCTCGTTATTGGTGGTGATGGTGACCAGATCCCCCTCCTGGTCCTTGTACTTGACGAGCACGCCCTTCAGGCCCGGGAATCTATCCACCACAATGTCCCTCACGAGTCTCACGCTGCAGTTCACAGGGATCTGGGCCGACCTAATGTCCTCTCCGTGGACCAACTTGACCGACTTCAAGACAGGTTTTTCCTCCTTTACACTTATTTTCTCCACCACCACCGCCTTATCCTCCGCCTTCTTTACCTCGTCTACATCCACGCTCTTCTCCTCAGGCTCCCCCACACTTTTCCGATCAGACTTGGCGTTCTTCCTCTTTTTCCCCTTCTCCTTGACCACCTTGAGAGGAACGGGGGCGTTCGGCTCCACGTGATTCGTGGGCAGGTCGATTTCCTTGTCCTCGACCCGGATCCCATTCTTCTCCATGGCATCCTTCACGAGCTCGGCAATCTCGAGGGCGACCATGTTGTTGGGCTCCATGGCCAGCACGCTGTTGACATCCCTGTAGGCTGGCTGGAGCTGGTTCAGGGCCAAGTAGCAGCGGGCCCGCCTCATGAGGGCCTTGCTGTACTTGGGGGCCTTCTCAAGGGCCAGGCTGCACTCGCTCACGGCCCGGGGGTACTCGGCCAGGCCCATCTGCATGTAGCAAGCGGCTATGTTGGTGCGGAGGTAGGCCACGTCCACGTGGTTGGGGGACAGAAGCTTGAGGGCCTTCTCGTACTTGAGCAGGGCCCCCTCGTGATCCCGCCTCTGGAACAGCTTGTTGCCCTCCTCCTTCAGCTCATGGGACAAGGCCGTGAAAATGCTGGCATCCTCGTCGAAGGCCGCCTTTGTCGTGGCCTTGCCGGGCTTCGCGTGCCCGTCCGCGTTGAGTTTTGATCCGATCTGAGCCCTCTTCCTCGTAGGGGGCTTTCCCATGTTCTCACGCCCCACGATAATCGCAAATGAGAACTCGCTCCAAGATTCAAAATCACCTATCAAAACTGAAAAAATTAGAAAATACAATTCAATTAAAATCAACATGGGCACTCAGCGAAAATGATCGACAGATTGCTTTCGGGAAAACCGAATCGAATCAATTGAAAGACGAATCATTTCCAAATTAATACAAAAAATTCGATCTTCTTCGTGGATCTATTTGCGTTTCAGATTGAAATCCACCACATTGAAAACTGCAGATTCATTGAAGGTGCTAAACAGATATACGCATACCTTGGACAGAACTATCTGGCTGCTCGTGAAACCGAGATCAATTTACAGGTGATGATTACTAGCGAGCTGAGCAACCTGGATTAATGATTGTCAGAACGTATTCGTATAAGATGTGTACGGAAATTTAATGGCGCCCCCAAAATTCGTGCCTCTGAAGAAGACGGAGTCTTTAATGGCCTGCAAATTAATTAAAAGAACGGCCGAAGAGAATTTTATTTGGGGTAACAGAGAGAAGGAATGTCTGCACGGACAAATGAATAATATAAAAATTAGCAAGATGTTACGAAATTATTCTGTCGTGATTTGTAATCGTTAGATCAATTATCTATGATGGCTACATGATGCTCTAGCAGTTACAAACCCGACGAAATAGTTCACGGGTTTAATTCATGGAATGTCTGCACGGACAAATGAATAATATAAAAATTAGCAAGATGTTACGGTCTCGTTACGAAATCATTCTGTCGTGATTTGTAATCGTTAGATTAACTATCTATGATGGCTACATGATGCTCTAGCGGTTATAAACCCGACGAAATGGTTAACGAGTTTAATTCATGTGATTTGACATTGGGTTATACCTACAATTGAATTTTTGGTTGTTGGTTTAACTTGAAAATATATTTTTTTTTTTTATAATTAACAAGTTTAGTGCAATCTTGACTCAAACTCGAGCTTGGAGTATTATTCAGCAAATTTATCTAATGTTAATTTTTTTTTTTTATTATTATTTTTTTTCACGTCAATTGCATTTGTGAAGGTTAGAAAAATGACTGATGAAATATTTACTGTGAACTAGTTATATATTTCGTATGATATTAGACTGTATGGTTGCATTTCTTGATTCTTTCTACTTTTATTCACTTATTAAGATATTCTTTACTTAGTAATTTGAAGAGCAACTTTACTCAATTATCCTACTGAAGCGTCTTGATGGGGCCGTGGGACCACGCTCCAAGACAGCGGGCGGTGCAGGGCGGCACCCGCTGACAGCAGAGCCAGGGAAGTGGGTAGAACGAGCACAGCACACTTTTACATCATTGTGGGACCCATTTCGGGTAGGATAGAGTATCTTCAATGCTCGAATGTTGTTGTAGAAATATTAGATACATTCCACATCAATACATTTAACAATATCACAACTTTTCATCATCCAATGTACAATATGATCACAAATGTCGTGATGATGTGGACATAATTAATGTCAACAATGTACAGTAGAATGTGGTTCATTCACATTCTCCTCCACATTCTAACTAGTCAATGAGGAGAAAAGAGAGAATAATTCTTACCAATTCCTAACAATTTAATTAATTAATTAATTTTCTTATTATATATGATAAAATTATATATTTGGTAAGTAAATAGAATTGTAGTTAGACTACATTGTGCTTTGGAGATAATTTTTTAGTTTCATAGTTGTAAACTTAACAATTTTTCTACATGGTTCACAATCCGTTTAATTAATTGACATTTGTAAAAAATTATTCTACAACAACATTAGAGAATTAGAGATGCTCTAAAAGAACAACTTTACCAACCACAACCATAAACCTCCTTTTACAATTTCCAACATGTCACATCATCCAAAACTTCTACACACATAAACCTCTAATAAAAATAAACCCCATAAACCTCTTTTTTATGGGTCTCACATATTTCTCACTTAATTTTAATTAATATTATACTCTTATATTTTTATTAATATTTTAAAACTATAACTCCATTTTATTTTTATTCAATCTAAATGTTTCATATATTCATCATAAATATATATAAAAAGTAATATAATTATATTAATTACATTATTTATAATTACAGGGTATTATGTACGTACCAATATAGAGTTTTATTTAAAAATTACGAAACATAGAACTTACATAATGTTGAAAATTAAAGTTTGAGTACAAATATTATTAAACAAGTGTACAAATTGATAAAACAACAAAAAATAAATAATAAAAACTAAAAAAAAACAAAATAAGGAAAATCAAATAATTGTCATGGCTCTTTCAACTAGTGGGCCCAATCACTCTCACGCCAAGATGGTAGTGTTTCATTCACGCGCATGAAGAAAAGGTATATTTCCATATTTCGTTTGCCAAAGGTTTACAAAGAGGACGTCGATTTGTGTTTTTTTTTTCGGAACGAAACAGAGATATATTAAATCTCAAAGAGAAAAAACCATGTTCAAATACAGACGGGGCTCACAGCCGAAAAAAGAAAAATAAAGAGGACACGCTAAAAAGCGGCCTAGAAATCTCACATGGGATAAAAAACAACAAACAACCAAACAAACTAAGAAAAAAGTCTAATATGCCAATTCAAATGCCTAACATAACAGACTAATTCCCACAGAAAACAAGAGAAAAGAAAGAAGAAAAACAAAGGAAAAAACAAACAAGACAAAAGCTAAGAGACTAAACTGAGGCAGGAGCAAATTCTTCCCAATCTTTGATGGTTGCTTTAATCAGGGTTGGAATCGGCATGAGGGTATTTTGAAATAGCAAAGATTGCGTGACTTCCAAATCCACCATAGAAGGTATGTTGATAGTTGTATGCGAGCTTCAACAACCTCTGATTTGGCTATGGAGCACACCTGCCACCACCATGACCTGAAGATATTCCCAGCAGCACAAGTCCCAGCCCATGTCACAAGACTAAGTTCCCAAAGAAGCTTTGCACGAGGCAGTGAATAAAAACATGGCTCACTGTTTCCGTTTTTTCACCACATGACTGGTAGATATGATCAACAAGAATTTCTTTTCTCAAAAGGTTAGCTTTGACTGGCAAAGTGTTGGAGCAGCATTTCCAGAGAAAATGCTTCAACTTGTTATGCACTTTCAATCTCCAAGATCTAGTTCTAGCTTTCGTGATGAGTTGATGATTAGAGCTACTCTGAGGGGTATCCATCACCTGCAGTTTGTGATTTAAGAGGAAGTAGTATGAAGAAGATACAATAAACATGCCTTTCTTATCAAAGCCCCAATAAAGCTTATCCTTTCTGTTGGGACTCAAAGAATTTATCTTCAAAATTGCTTGACTATCCTCAACATTAAAAACCTGTGACACCAACCAAGAATTCCAGCTCATACCATTGCTTCTTAAAAGATCTTTGACCCAAATCAAATGACCCCTTTTGCTAAATCCAGTAACTTTGGCTTATGAGAGATGAGTGAAGGGATCCAATTAAAGTCAGAGATCCTGGTTGAGCCACCATTCCCAATCTGAATTCTAAATCCCATAGCAAAGTGTGGATAATCTGCAGCCAACAGCTCCAAAGCCAATAGCAGTTATGGGATTTTGTAGCATCAAAGATGGAAGTAGAAGGATAGTACCTACTCTTAAGAACTCTACTGACAAACAACTCAGGCTGAGATGTAATTCTCCAGAGTTGTTTGCAAATCAAAGCTTCATTAAAAATCTTGACATCTTGAAAACCAAGTCCACCATCAACTTTAGAAAGAGTCAGCTTGCTCCAGGATCTCCAATGAATCCTTTTCTCATGATTTTCCCCCTTGCTCCCCCAGAATGATGCACAAAGACTGGAGATCTCCTTGATGACAGAAACAGGAAGTTTGAAACATGTCATGGTAAAAATAGGGATAGCATTCAGCACTGCTCTTATGAGCACTCTTTACCAGCAGAGGAAAGGAACTTTGATTGCCAACTGCTCAATTTGGATTTCACTGAGTTCAGTACATGAGCAAAAGCTTCTCTTTTGGATTTACCTATGCCAAAAGGGAGTCCAAGATATCTAGTGGATTGGTGTCTGCTGATGCCATGAAGATGGTTACAAATTCCAGATTGCAGTTCCTAAGGGGAGTTCTTACTAAAGAAAATTGAAGACTTGTTCAAATTAACTTTTTGGCATATGTACAGTCTGAAGTTCTCCAGAATGGAAAGAAGAGTATGCACCTGATCCACCCCAGCTCTACATAAAAGCAGTGCATCATCAGCAAACAATAGGTGTGAGAGAGTTGGACCATCCCTAGAAATTTTCAGACCAGATAAAGAGCAATCATCAATGGCATTGGATAACAAGGATGATAACAGCTCAGCAATGATCAGAAACACATATGGTGACAAGGGATCACCCTGCCTGTTACTCCTTGAAGGAAAAATGGATTTGGAGACATGACCATTGATATTAAAAGCCAGAGAGGTGGAGGAGAGACATTCTAGAATCAATTTCACAAAAGGAGGAGCAAAACCCATCTTGGTCATAATCCCATGTAAACTTTTCCACTCTATTCTATCAAAAGCCTTCATCAGGTCCAATTTTAAGGGCATGAAGCAGTGATTGCCATTCTTATGCCTGTTTAGAAAATGGAAAACTTCATGTGCAATTATTACATTGTCCAGGAGCTGTCTACCTTTGATAAAGGCTGATTGGCAAGGGTTAATGCAAGGATCAAGTCATGATTGCAATCTGGTGGCTAAAAGTTTGGAAATGGATTTGTAAACCAATGTGCAAAGACTTATTGGCCTGAATTGGTCAACGGACTCTGGGTTTTGGCATTTGGGAATCAAAGTAATAAGTGTTTGGTTCCAGTATTTGAGCATCATTCCAGAACAGAAGAAACTTTTGACAGCAGCTATAAAATCAGTTTTGATCACATCCCATAAATGTTGATAAAATAGGGGATTCATACCTTCCTCACCCGGTGCCTTCTCAGGTGCTAAACTAAATAGGGTTGTTTTAA